ACAATCACTACATTATAAGATAAGATAAGTCACAATGGAGAAATGTACATTACCATATTACATGTTCCATTCCTCTGATGTTTTATTTTAATTATATTCTCTGCTGCTAAGTTACATTTCCAAACATCGGTAAATATACCTCATGAAAAGTGTTATGTGGGTGGCACGGTGGCTGAGTGGATAGCACTCTCGCTTCTCAGCCCCTGGGTTCGAATTCTGGTCGGAACAGGGTCTTTCTGAGTTGAGTTTGCATGTTCTCCCCGTGTCTGCCTAGGTTTCCTCTGGGTGCTCCAGTTTACCCTACCACTAAAAACATGCACCAGCTCCGGTCCTGACCAAACTGAGTACCAACAGCTGGAGATGGGTTCCCGGGTGCTGTGCAATGGCGACGACTGCCCCTGTCCTGGCGGAAGCCTTAGTGGTGTCAGAAAGGGTCAAATGCAGAGGAAAAATTTCCTTCGGGGATAATACAGTGCACATTTACATTTATTTATATTTATGTTTTATACGGTGTATACTCCGCGAGTCATTATCCTTGAACCAAGTGCAATTATAGCTCCAGAGTTTCATGATCGTATTATATTCATTACTCTATTATCTATTATCATAAATACTAGATCATGCTTGTTGTGTGTACAACCTGAGTGCTCTTACTTTACTATTTTTTTCTTGTTTGATCAGGTTGGGACAGTACATGTTAATGAACACATCACTCCGGATTGTAGCCTTGGACTAATTTGCATACGTTGTCCCGCATTCGCACTCAAAAACACTCACTCATTCACCTTGAACTATTGCACATGTTTTTATGGGTTGGGGAAACCGGAGTACCCGGAGGAAACCTACGCAGACAGGGGGAGAGCATGCAAACTCCTATTCTTATCTATATAATGTGCACAATGATGACATTTTCCCACTTGTAAATTTCTCCTGTGTGAGATCAATAAAGTCTATCTTATCTCATCTTATCTTATCTGATTTATCTCACCTTGAACACAAGTTTTACTTCTACCTACCGCTTTTCGAATTGTACATTATATTTTGTTTTATTGTATTGTACAATGAATAATTCATAATTCGAAATAAAGACTACTACAACAACAAAGACAGCTATGCCTTTTATGATAGATTGTATATTATATGAGATAGGCCTTCTTTGTGGACTCCAAAGGAAACTCATCTGTAAAATTTAAAAAACAACCTTTCTTCATCCGCCTTTATGATCACATAATAATAATAATAATAATAAAGGACGTTATGTCTTTGATCCAGTAGCCCCCACTCGCACGCATTTCTTATTTTTACAACAACTTTGCCTTATTATGATTTAACAGCCGTAATCGCCTAGCAAACTATTACACAATCTCTTTTTATGGTTCGAATATGAATAAAAGCTAGTTAAATCGTGTCGTATTTGATTTAATCTCATATTTCGACCGAAAGATGGACAGACGTTAGCTTTCGTCAAATCAGCGCCTCCATCTTCCCCCATTTACCGCTGTTTCCCTGGCAACACCTCCCCTCTCCCTCCCCTCTATCTCCTAACGGACTGCACCACTTCTAAAATGGGGACACCTTCTACGCATTTTTCACACAATTCCACTCTTGTAACATTAAAAACGAAAGTAAAACTTGATCTTACCACGCATAAAGTACACATAGGTGTTGTATAAAACATGTTTGGGTAGTGCTAAATTGTAAAATGTAAAATATGGTTGTTTATTTGTCGCGAAAACCCCCTCGTTAATCTTCAGTCAACAATCCCTTGAACTGTCAAAATCGCTTGTTGCTTCTCCCTAGCCTTAAAAGTAGTTAGCCGTCTCGCCCCGGGCTGTAATAGCTCACTTTATTCTCCCCAAATTCGGGCAAAAAGTTTGCTTCTAACCAGGAATTTGCGACATTTTCTCGTTTTAGGAAAGCCTGGATTGACGAGGACAGAGCGGGGCGTGCTTGCTTCTCCGCTGCCCACGGAAAGAGACCGAATTCGGGGGGGGGGACTTTGTGGAAACAGCTGGATGTGACACGCTCCAGGTAAAAAAGATAGCATCTCGCTGCTAGCATGTAGCATATTTCTCAAGTGTATAAATATGGTTTCCTTTATTTAATACGGGGCGAGGCGTGCTGCGTGGACACGGCGTGTGCACTTTCCTCTCAAACCCCAGCTTTTCACTTGAAAAAAGTGAAAATAAAAGCAGCACCCATTACGTCATGTTTGTCTGCAGCCAGTCTCGGGACCACGCGTTTTTTCCCCTCTTCACTGCAGTAGCGAATTTACAAATAATACAATTAACTACGCAATTCTCATTAATATTTTAGCTCAGATAAGAAACGTGCATTGATTATTGTTTTTCATATAAATACATCGCTAATACAAGGTCGTATTTCAATGTAATCTGAATGACAGGACTGGTACTGCTGAAGTAAATAAGAGTATAGCAGCTACGTGTATTCTAGTTATTGCATTGTTAACCTTGCTCATAGGTCACGTATTTTGGTTGCCATAGTGGATATATTGACATCACCTCTAATAATATACCGCGCAATAAGGAAGCAAAAAGCACATAGGTAACCTTGAGACGTGGGGTTTTATGGAGGCATTGAAGCTGTGGCTGGGTGTAATGTCGTACCTGGTTCATTATATAAGAGATAGTGCATATTGGTGCTGCTATGGGAGACTTTACAAAGCTTGTAGCCTCAGATATAGCAGCTTTAACTTTGCATTTTGTGAGGGAATTTGACCTTTGGGTGAATAGAGAATGAGGTTCATCTGTTTATACCAGTGGAGCAATGTTGGATAATACTCAAAGTATATAGGCTATTGGGTTTTTAAAGAAGTATTATGCATTATTTTAAACTTAAAATGTACTTTAGCATTATAATCCCTGTTTCCACCACCCCTACTCTTCTCTACTTTACTCTATCTGGTCTCTCTCACTTGTCTCTCTCTCTCTGATCTCTCTCTCTGGGCTCTCTCTCTTTTCTCTCTGGTCTCACTCTGGTCTCTCTCACTTATCTCTCTCACTTGGGTCTCTCTCTGATCTCTCTTTCTCTGGTCTCTATCTTGTCTCGCACTCTACTCTGTTCTGTGCAACCAGTACCAGGTCCTTCTTAAGTCCCTCTTGGCCCTGGTTCTATCCAGGCCAAGCTGATACTAAAGTGATTGGCCAGAGTGCTGCTGGAAGCCATGGTTACCAAGGAACTTCCATAGATACTGGTTTGTTGTGGGTAGGTTGCGAAGATACGTTACCAGATACTACAGTGTAATGGAAGTGGGTATTATTTGAAATAAGTCTTACTAGCGAACAACACTCCCTCCTTACATACCACTCCACACCTTTCCCCATTGCAGTTATCTTTCAAAAACTATCAATTATTTCCATCACAAACACTCAAAAACAGATTTCCTGACATTCAACTCAACTTTATTTCCTGTAATTGAACACAGTCATTGGATTAGACAAGACGAGCCAGCGGTGTCTTTCCAGAAAGCCAGAGAAGCGCCTCCCTTTACCGCTTGATATTTGATTAGACCTAATAATAGCAAAAGGACACATGCTTTTCTATTGATCTGTGCAATGGCCTAGTTTCCTGCTGCTGTTTTTGACATCTACATCTTAAACCGTCTCCACACAAAGTCTTCATTTGGCTTTGTTCGAAATAAAAGCCATGGTAGATAGTAACCGTGGTTCCTTTCTGTAAACTATACATGTGCTGCTACTGCCACAACTGAGCCCTGGATCTACAGCCTTTCCGTCCGTGGGAGCAGATCCCTCTCTCAATATGGGCCTCCCTGTGGTTTCCTAAATTTTTTCCCATTGGGTTTTGTGAGTTGTTCCTTGCCGATGCTCAAGAACAGTGACGATTACCAATGGCTCCTATGTTTTTGTTATTATTGCATTTCCTGTTTGAACAGTTTGATTCTCTGTTGTTGCTGAATCCACAACTTTGTAAAGTCCTCCGAGACGACTGCCGCTGTGATTTAGGGCTGTTAACAAATACCTTGAATTGAATTACAAGTGCTGCTAAGAGGTTAAGAGGTTTGCCTTAGCTAACACCATATAGTTTAGCCCCATTCACGCTAATATCAGGAACTTTTGGCTTGGACACGTCTCCACACCCCTGCAGTTTGAATACAGGATGCTTACTAGTAGTAGTTGTTGTTGTAGTAGTAGTAGTGGTGGTGGTGGTTGTCTTGGTGGTGGTAGTAGTAGTTGGTCTAAAGCAGGACTGTAGCAGGTTTAAACCAGGACTAAACGAGGTCTAAAAGCTTTACATATTTTAAATTAAAAAAAGCTGACCGCAAAGCATCATGGGATACTCCAATAGGCTTTCATTACGGAGCCATTTGTCTAAGTAATGTTTTTTCCTAATAATAATACATATATAATAATATATATGTGTATTATTACGAGAAGAAAAAGCCCTGTTACCGCAGCTTTAAGTACAATAAAATGGCAATGTCGCCTCACCCCCTCCTTCGTACTTTCTTCTCACATCTCATATCCCTCCTCCGCAATAATATCCTGTTGTCTTAGCCTTGCATCGTCTTGTTGTGGACTTGTTAATGAACAAAACACGGTGGGGTTTGGCATCATGCAGCTTTCCAGGCCACACATAAAGGTCACAGTGTCACATGATAACATACACAATGGATAAACAACAACTAATGCACAGTTAGCATACAGATATTTCTCTTTTGTCCCCATGCTAAATATTACTGTATGGGCTGTATATGTGGACCTGGACTCTATAAACATGGACCATATGTTGTGAAGGCATATTAGCGCCTTATTGGAATAAACTGTTCCCAGAGGAAATTTTGAGCAGGTTTATTCAATTCAATTTAATTCAATTTTATTATGTTTTTATTTTATTTCTTTTTTACAAAACTTCAAGTCATACACATACTCATTTCGAAAGGTTTGTTATTACTTTGTAACAGTAAATGGCCCCAAAACAGTACATGCAAAACAAATATATACCTTTTATACATTCCTAAACTAATAGACCAGAGAGGGAGGGAGACCGGAGAGGGAGGGAGACCGGAGAGGGAGGGAGACCGGAGAGGGAGGGAGACCGGAGAGGGAGACCGGAGAGGGAGAGAGACCGGGGAGGGAGAGAGACCGGGGAGGGAGAGAGACCGGGGAGGGAGAGAGACCGGGGAGGGAGAGAGACCGGGGAGGGAGAGAGACCGGGGAGGGGGAGGGAGAGAGACCGGAGAGGGAGGGAGACCGGAGAGGGAGGGAGACCGGAGAGGGAGGGAGACCGGAGAGGGAGCGAGACCGGAGAGGGAGGGAGACCGGAGAGGGAGGGAGACCGGAGAGGGAGGGAGACCGGAGAGGGAGGGAGACCGGAGAGGGAGCGAGACCGGAGAGGGAGGGAGACCGGAGAGGGAGGGAGACCGGAGAGGGAGGGAGACCGGAGAGGGAGGGAGACCGGAGAGGGAGCGAGACCGGAGAGGGAGCGAGACCGGAGAGGGAGCGAGACCGGAGAGGGAGCGAGACCGGAGAGGGAGCGAGACCGGAGAGGGAGCGAGACCGAGAGGGGAGCGAGACCGGAGAGGGAGCGAGAGACCGGAGAGGGAGCGAGACCGGAGAGGGAGCGAGACCGGAGAGGGAGCGAGACCGGGGAGGGAGAGAGACCGGGGAGGGAGAGAGACCGGGGAGGGAGAGAGACCGGGGAGGGAGAGAGACCGGGGAGGGAGAGAGACCGGGGAGGGAGAGAGACCGGGGAGGGAGAGAGACCGGGGAGGGGGAGGGAGAGAGACCGGAGAGGGAGCGAGACCGGAGAGGGAGCGAGACCGGAGAGGGAGCGAGACCGGAGAGGGAGGGAGACCGGGGAGGGAGAGAGACCGGGGAGGGAGAGAGACCGGGGAGGGAGAGAGACCGGGGAGGGAGAGAGACCGGGGAGGGAGAGAGACCGGGGAGGGAGAGAGACCGGGGAGGGGGAGGGAGAGAGAGACCGGAGAGGGAGCGAGACCGGAGAGGGAGCGAGACCGGAGAGGGAGGGAGACCGGAGAGGGAGGGAGACCGGAGAGGGAGCGAGACCGGAGAGGGAGCGAGACCGGAGAGGGAGGGAGACCGGAGAGGGAGGGAGACCGGAGAGGGAGGGAGACCGGAGAGGGAGCGAGACCGGAGAGGGAGGGAGACCGGAGAGGGAGGGAGACCGGAGAGGGAGGGAGACCGGAGAGGGAGGGAGGAGACCGGAGAGGGAGCGAGACCGGAGAGGGAGCGAGACCGGAGAGGGAGAGAGACCGGGGAGGGAGAGAGACCGGGGAGGGAGAGAGACCGGGGAGGGAGAGAGACCGGGGAGGGAGAGAGACCGGGGAGGGAGAGAGACCGGGGAGGGAGAGAGACCGGGGAGGGGGAGGGAGAGAGACCGGAGAGGGAGCGAGACCGGAGAGGGAGCGAGACCGGAGAGGGAGAGAGACCGGGGAGGGAGAGAGACCGGGGAGGGAGAGAGACCGGGGAGGGAGAGAGACCGGGGAGGGAGAGAGACCGGGGAGGGAGAGAGACCGGGGAGGGAGAGAGACCGGGGAGGGAGAGAGACCGGGGAGGGGGAGGGAGAGAGACCGGAGAGGGAGCGAGACCGGAGAGGGAGCGAGACCGGGGAGGGAGAGAGACCGGGGAGGGAGAGAGACCGGGGAGGGAGAGAGACCGGGGAGGGAGAGAGACCGGGGAGGGAGAGAGACCGGGGAGGGAGAGAGACCGGGGAGGGGGAGGGAGAGAGACCGGAGAGGGAGCGAGACCGGAGAGGGAGCGAGACCGGGGAGGGAGAGAGACCGGGGAGGGAGAGAGACCGGGGAGGGAGAGAGACCGGGGAGGGAGAGAGACCGGGGAGGGAGAGAGACCGGGGAGGGAGAGAGACCAGAGAGTAGAGTAGAGTAGAGTAGAGTAGAGTAGAGTAGAGTAGAGTAGAGTAGAGTAGAGTAGAGTAGAGTAGAGTAGAGTAGAGTAGAGTAGAGTAGCATGATGTTGTAACATTAACAGTAATAACAGGCAATACTTTTGTTTTAAAGGAACTTAAATACTTTTAAAACAAAAGTATTGCACATACATTCGTTTTGAAAATTATTTGAGTGAAATGGCGTTCTTTACAATCCCGTAGCAGTGGGTTGCAGCCGACAATAAAAGAAACAAAACAAAGGTACCTAACGTAACAGGGTAAATGAAAGACGCACAGACAGAGAGATGGATGGGAGGATGTTTGAAAAGTCATGAAGCTCTGAGTCATCATGGGGGTGACATCAGCGGGAGAGGGGAGAGGGGGGAGGAAGGGTAAGCGTCTGGGGAGGGGTGCACAGAGCCAGACAGGACTCTAATGACACTGATGCAATAACCATAACAAGGGTGTACACGTGACTGAGACTGGACTCATGTAATAAAGAGTATTAGAGATGAATTTAAAAGCTCCATAATATTGTTTTAAAGACATTACCTCAGACATAGACCTGGGGTTGTGTTTAGCTCCATCTACGCTTACATCAGGAACGGGCACAAACATGTAGCTCCGCCCCTTCTGTCTCAAAGCTCCTGTCTTAGTCTTGTTGCACTATGATGACATTGTACAACTACATCACACTTTGTAAAACAAAAGTATTGCAGATAAATTTGTTTTGGTGATTTCTAGAGTGAAATAGACATCTTTACACTAACATGGCACTTTGACTTTTGGAAATAAATACTCCTCCCTCTGGTGGCAGCATAGGGAGTTACAGGCAAAACATGTGTATACCCTTCACCATTTATTTCCTACTGAAGATATTATTAGGGCGACAGTAGCTCAGTTGGTAGAGCATTGGCCTTCAGGCCTGAAGGTCGTGGGTTCAATTCCCACCTCTACACCTTCTCCACCGACTCCCACTGATGACTGCTGTCGTTGTGTCCTTGGGCAAGACACTTAACCCCACTTTGCCCAAAGCCCCCACTGAAAGATCAAGGCTATGCTCACACTCAGAGAGCAGCCGTCCTCCTGTGGACTCACCACCTGCAGAGGGTCAGTGAGGGGCTGGTGCTATGAGACTTGGGTGGCATCTCTGACTGCCACCCCCCTGACCCAGAAATGGATTAAAGGGTAGAAAATGGATGGATGGATGGATATTATTTCCCTTTGTTAAACATGAAATGACAAAGTAAACTGTCTCAGTGTTAGTTTGACACAAGTACAACACTAGGCTCAGACAATTTTAATATTCATAAATATAACCTTGGTTTATAGTCATGTTTTTCTTTTTATTTTATTTTTTAATTTATTGTAATTTTCTTAAATGTTTAGATTTTGTTTTGTTTTTATTCATTATTGTTTTCAAATATATAAGTACTTATTTTTTTATTTAATTACATGTTTTTACTATACTTTCTTTTGTTTAAGGTTTAAGTTTTTTAACTTTTCTTGTGTTTTAAATATTTAATAATTATTTATATAAAGTTATTCTAATTTTTTTCAATCTTTTTAATTTTAATTTTTTATAATAATGTATTACATGTTTTTGTTATTTTCGTTGAAACCTTTTTTTTATTATAATTATTCGTTTAATATTATTTGAAATATAGTTGATTTACTTTTAAGTATTTGTGTCGTACATTTTTTATTGTAGCTTTTTATGTATTTGTTTTGTTGTTTTTCAATTCTGGTAAGCTGCCCATAATTGTGCTTTATACATATTGCTGGATCTCATTTGTGAATAGATAAATGTACATTATGGAACTATCATCACAAACCAGTCATTCACAAGACCTTGTGTAGTCGACTGTTATGTGGTCTTTAGTGTCTCTCATGTTGATGTGCACAGGAACAGGACTGGCAGTATTTTTGGGGCCATGTAATTCCTGTGGGACCCTTGTGTTAGATGGATCCTCCAAGGACACATCTGCTCTATTATTACACTCATAGGTCACTCCAACATGGCCGCCGCGTTCTGCAACCTCATATAAACTCGATACAGGCCATAAAGTCATATCAGCTGACGTTTTATCAATAGTCCGCTCGATAAAGTGGAGGGTAGCTTTACTGCACTGTCATCTTGCAATTAACCCAAATATAGCCGCCGTCGGAAATTCAATTCATCCGACGAAAGATGGAATAATTCTGAACTGAATTGAGTGTCTCCAGACCGTTCCCTGCTTAGGGCACTGCATAGGGGTCAAGCTGTTTTAAGGGTGTCTCAATGTCCACAAGTAAAAACAAATGTAAAGCTAGGGTACGTGACTTTAAACCACAACATTAGAACTATCTAATAACATATATTTAGATCTAGTTCCTTACTCTAAAAACAGTTTCTATCACATCTTTAGATCATTTTTCTACTGAAAAACAGAGGAACAGCCCTCACTAAGTCAATCTGCTCTCAGCCCAAAGTGTTAAAAAGTGACTCATAGGGCACTTTTTACAAGTTAGCAAATGTAACATATTTTCTAATAAGATGAAGACATTAATGTGTCAAATCTGCTTTAGTCTCCGCTTTAGTCTCCGTTTTAGTCTCTGCTTTAGTCTCCGCTTTAGTCTCCGCTTTAGTCTCTGCTTTTTTCTCTGCTCTAGTCTCTGCTCTAGAGTCTGTAATAGTTTCTGCTCCAGTCTCTGCTCCAGTCTCTGCTCCAGTCTCTGCTCCAGTCTCTGACCCAGTCTCTGTTCCAGTCTCTGCTATTCTGTAGTCTCTGCTTTAGTCTCTGCTTTAGCCCTATAGTCCTGCTTGATCTAATCTGCTCTATCTCTTGTCACTATCACTCCTGCCTGTACCAATACATACCCCCTTAACTCCATGAATCACAAACCCCTCTCGCCCCATTGGCTCTGCTCTGCTTTTGTGGGCTGCTCCTCGCCTCTGATTGGCCGCAGTCTCTCTGTGGGGTGGGCTCTGTTTGTGGGCAGGAAGAAGGGACCGTCTATCTCTCCTCTCGGTGCGTGCTATTCAGAAAGAGAGCAGAAACAGACACGGAGTTGTATATAGACTCTTGGCTTGGGCTACTGCATAGATTCCACCGCCTAGGCATGGGCTGCTACTTTTTGATTTGACAACTTTGGGGAATTTTATGGGAATTTAACACCACGGACGGAAAGGTGGAAGGAAAAAGCAGTGATTCCGGACCTAGGAGGTAAGGACAGGGTTTTTTGGATGGTGCATTGCTGCATAGGCTGGGTGGGGAGGTTGTGTCTACTGGACAAGACTAAAGCTGCCAGCGTGGGACAGTATAGTGCTTATCTGACACAATTCAACACGAGTTTGCGGAGTGGAGTATAATTCTATTCTGCCGTTATTAAGTGCGATGTTTATTGATGCTTCAAAAAGTACATTCCCAGTCTCTATTCTTGGCTTTAGTCCTAGCTTTTTGAGCTTTAGTCTTGGCTTAAAGAGAGTTAGTCCTTGGTGAATAGCTGATATGTGTATGGCTATTAAAGCAGCTTATATGTTGTTTATTTCTTTTGTTCAAGTATAACTGTCCTTCTGCCTTTGTGGGAAAGTTATATTGAGTTTTGGTTAGTGATTAAAATAAGGTTTTTTTTAATTTAGCCTAGTTCACTCCATGGTTTGGTTCTCCCCCTATGTATATTCTTAGCTGTAGTCCTGGTTCAGGCCTGGTTTAGTCCTGCTTTTGTCCCGGTTCAGTCCTCGTTCAGTCCCGGTTCAGTCCTGGTTCAGTCCTGGTTCAGTCCTGGTTTAGTCCTTGTATTGTCGTTTCTTCTCCAATCTATTTAACTTTTGTTTTTAGTCCTTGTAAATCTCCCCATTATCGTTGTCGGACATTGGAGTTCTATTCCCTTGGCTGTAGACCTGGTTCCGTCTATGTTTAGCATCAAACTGACTTGTTTTAAATTGTATTGTTTTAACTAATTATTTTATATTGTAATGTTTGCTGTGTAATTTGATGGCATTTTACACCTTGCCTAGGGACTACAGTTGGAAACTAGCTGTTAGCTAATACCTACACATTTACAGCAATGTTGATTATGTGTATCGTCCCTATTCAAATAAACTATTGAAAAAAGTATAGGACAAGCTATTGGTTTTATTATTATTTATTTTACATTGATATTTTGGATAGCACTGTTTATCTTTCTGCTCATGGTACACTTTATGCTTTAGTCTCTGCTTTATTCCCATCTTTTTGGGACGACAGTAGCATGGGACGGTAGAGCATTGGCCTTTGAGACAGAAGGTCGTGGGTTCAAGCCCACCTCAAGACTTTTACCATCGACTCCCGCTGTCTGCTGTCGTTGTGTCCTTGGCAAGACACTTAACCTCTGGGAACCCCTGATGCCACAGTGGGGCAGCTGCAGCGGTAAAGTGCCAAACTGCCGTTGTGTCCTTAGGCAAGACACTTCACCAAAGCGCTGTATAAAAATGATGCATTATTATATTTTTTATTTTTTTCTGTAGACACATTGATCCTGGTTGTGTTCAAATGTAAAAAGTGTATACCAAATTAACTTCCTTTGAAGTTAAGGACTATTTGTGGCTCTTATATTTGGGTCGTTTCAAACACACCGCAAATAATTTAGTTTGACTGAAACTATTGTCATAACGTCATGTGTTTGAAATCATAGCTTTTAGACAGTAAGATAGTTTTATTAGTGTGGATGGAATTACAGCAACTCCAGGTCTGTTTTTGACAAGGGAGCAACGGTAAAACATGTTTTAAATAGAGAAACGCTTTATTTTTTGCATAATATGTGTCCTTTCCTTGTTTAGAAATAACTACAATTTTAGCCAGTGGAAGAGATTCCTTCTCTGCCTAAGAAATTTGCTATCATGTTTCTTAAAAAACACAAATGAATAGTTCCAACCATAGAACTCTATGACCCCTTGGAGCGTAATGGACTTTCTTTCCTCTACCAGACGCATTAGCACAGCATTACATACTTCAAATTTCACTCCTATCCCCTTTATGTCACTTATTCTCTGTTTTCGCAAAGGGGAAAAAGAGACGTGTTATGTTCTGTTTTGGTGACCCACGGTGAAGAAAGTGAAAGTGGATTTTAGTCTGAA